TGCTATGAGAAAATCTGTGGGTGTACATCGAGTGCATTTGCAGATTTGCGTGCTTCTCCTCTGGTGGGCGTACATGGTGTGTCCATGTGCGCACGCGCGCGCGTGTGTGCGGCATGTGTGTGTGTGTGTGCATTTTTGAAGCCATTCCCCTGCCTTTTCAGGCATTGTGCGTATGGATAGTCGCTGAAATGAAAATTCCGATATGTATCGTTCAGAGTGTTACACACGCACACGCACACACACACACACACACACACACACACACACACACACACAATACCAGCATACTCGCGATGTTCAGGCTTCAGCAAGATAGTTAGCTTGTACCAGTTTTAACTTAAAATGTTGATCAGTTTTCAAAGACATGGAGCAGCCTTCGGCAACAATATGCCGGTGCTATTCAGCAGCCGCAGAGCTATAAATATACATATCAGCATACTGCCTACATGTCAGCACTTCAGCCAGAGAGGAGCAGTTCAGCCTACATGTCGGCAGTTCAGCCAGAGAGGAGCAGTTCAGCCAGAGAGGAGCAGTTCACCCAGAGTGGAGCAGTTAAGCCAGAGTGGAGCAGTCAGGCAGAAGGAGTAAATCTGAGTGAGGGCACGGCGTGCGAACCGGCCATCTCTTACATCCTGCGTGCATTGGGAGCAGTCAGTTCACTCCGCACAGCACACCCATCGGACTGCCGGGCACGGCACGGGTCAAATGTTCTTCCGAGCCAAGCATCTTGTGCTTTCCAGCTGCTGTCCTGCACTAGCACCACGTGTCACCAAAGCATGGACATATCTTGAGTCGCTGCATTGCACACAGATTTCTTGCCAGTGCAGTGACGCATCGTGACCTTTGTGAATGCCAGATCAGCGTTTGGCACACTCGTGTTTGTTTAAAAGTCCACGCCTCGTGCCGTAAGTTACTTCCGGCGGCTCCACTCGGCGTTGTGATTGATGACATCAGCAAGAGGGGAATTCTCTAGACTTTTCACCCGCCGAAATCCTCTCCACCACGATGCACATGCCATGCTACCAAATGCCAGCATGATGACTAATCCGGAAATTTGCACAATATTTTTCTTCGGCATGTCAGCTGCAGACCAGCAGAAAAGCAGATGAGTACGTACATTCATTGCTGTTGGTGGCCATCAAATTGAGAAACTCACAACCTGTGTAATCACTTGATCCTGGTATGGACGTGCAAGCTAATAGTAACATACGATACTACATTATAGAAAATTGCTAAATTCAGTTAAAGTTGTATACAAGTTAGCAGTGTATATGTAGGTGCACACAGTGCATAGAGCACACCGGTTGGCATGGTACATGTACAGCCATGTACTACTATAACCCACCTCTCCCCCCCCCCCCCCCCCCCCCCTCAGCACCACCACGCATACTTTATTGTAGTGCGTGGGTATTTTAGTTGTGCCGTGAAGTGACAATAATTAAATTTTATGCACTTGTGTGTGTGTGGGGGGGGGGGGGGGGGATGTGTGTGCATGTGTGTGTGTGTGTGTGTGTGTGTGTGTGTGTGTGTGTGTGTGTGCGTGTGTGTGCGTGTGTGTAGATGTATGTATGTGGGTGTGTGGGTGTGCCATATACAACAGGGTCACAATAAGTAGCATGTAGATAACGTTTACTTACGATATCTCATTGCTAAGAACGGATACGTTGGCCCGCCCACCATGAATGCATACCCAGCAGCTAATGCACACATAGATCGTGAACAAAATGACAGTACAGCATGTAAGCACTGTGACAGTACAGCATGTAAAACTATGACATATCCGTGCAGCACATATGCAGTGAAAACTATTAAGAATTACCCGTAACACTGTAAACATACCCCTGGTTTAGTACGTACAAATTTCTTGCCACAGATTTATCCTCCATTGGAGCGAATCAGTTCAGTCAGAAATGCATGTGTACTTGGTACATGCTACATACTACCCGTAGTAGTACATGTACATGACTTGTATGGAACAGCACATTGCTTTGATCCCAATCAGGGAGTAGTGAAGTATTTTACTCTAATTTTAGAACTCCCTGCTTCAAGCACGCGCTTGTGCACTGCTGCAGAACATATTCACAAGATCAGATTTCATCGACTTGTGCACAATGGCATGTAACTGGTGTACGTTACCTGAATTGGAACCACATGCACAGCTGGCTACTGTATTGCAAAAGAGAACTAGAAATTCTTGAGTACATACACTCACCCAATGTTTGACGGAACTCACACGATGCGGCACACACACACACACACACACACACACACACACACACACACTTTGCAGCAATACCTGGCCAGCTCTCTGTCTAGCTCGCTTTACTGGATTCTAGACTGTATCACTTCAGGCTCAACTCGCATTACAAACTTCCTTGTGTTTCCAACTTACTAACGAAAGAAGACTCGGCCGAAAGGAAAATCACCATGGTATATAACACAGCAGGGCACATGTGAAACCAGAGACCCGGACCCGTCGAAGCATGCAAATGAGGGCCGCTCTATCGCCTGACATGAATGCGTACAAAGGGAGCGTAAGCAGACAGCTTTGCCGTGCACTAAGATGCCGACTCGCGTGACCGTAACACAGCACGACAATGAACATGACAGTCAGACTACTCCAGACATGAATGCAGGAAACCAGTTCACATGACCATGCGTACACAATACCAACATGGTAAGTTACCACTAGCGTCAAGAGTCCATAACCCAAGAGTATGCAACTGTGATTATGGGTGCATGCGTGGCGCGCTGCCTTCATTACGTAACTTGCCTTCATCACGCTCTGAAAGCATGCATTCAAACTCTCAATTTCTCGCACGAGCCCATCCGTTTTTGCTCGATTCGTTCCAGTACCTACACAATCTCTGAATTCTGGCGCGTGAACTCCAGTTCCGTATGAAAGTTCATTTCAAACTGGAGGGAAAGTGCGGTGTTTGATTTTCCGCAGTGCGCGGACTGCAGCTGAATGATGTAATGAAGGCAGCGCGCCGCGCATCTGGCCCATAGAAAAGAGATCACAATTGCATACCCTTGGGTTATGGACTCTTGCTAGCGTATGTAAGATTATTACGCCAACGCATACCACAGGAACGGAACTTCACCGAGTCTTGCAGACAATGTTGGTTTCAACAAGGCCATGAATTGGACGGCACTGCCTGGCGCTGAAGAACGAACAGGCTAGGCTTTCACCAAGCATAGAATACAGATATATACACACACACAGTGACTCCACTAGGCAGAAGACTACATGACAAATAAGAACAGCCTACAATGTAGGCTACGGCTCATCGACACCCGACTGTGCTGTACGTCTGGATTCACACCGCTCTGCCTGTACGTGTATATATACTTACAAAGGATAGTACCTTGGACAACACATTGGCTGATGATATCGCTCTCCGCCGGACTCAACTAAAATACATGTGCATGCATGCATGCACATGCACACCCATGCGGGCACACACACACACACACACACACACACACACACACACACACACACACACATACACATACACATACACACACGAAGATTACGAGTAAAGCATTGGTGAATGAGTGCTCCCCTCTAAACTAACTGTTAGCACAAGTCAGTTGCTGGATGAGATTGAAGTGTAGAACATGAATGGGATAGTTCTGAGAGTACTAGTATCCAGCCTGGATCCACAAGCACCAATCTCTCTTCACAGTCAAAGTAATCATTGGCAGCAGTAAGGGTTGCTCAATCAGAGTCGATCTGATAAGGGCTGCATTACACATTGATATGCGGAGTGTCGGAACTGGATGCCAACTAGGCAGCAAACGCAATGCTCGGTCATCTGTTAAAAAGTGCGCCGATCAACTGATCTAGCTCACACACACACACACACACACACACACACACACACACACACACACACGCACGCACACACACACACACACACACACACACACACACCTCAGACCTGCCCATCGTGGAAGCGATGATAGCGAACAGCTATGTTAGACATAGCAACTTGTGCTGGGATTGTACCATTCAACAGCTTGCAAGGCTGATGAATTGACCGCCACTATTCCACTACACACACACACACTTGTACTTGCTCACTGCCAAAACTGGTCACGTGGGTCTCCACGGGAGAGGGGAGAGAGCCTCAAAAGGAATCTTGGAAAGATGACTCAATTGGCCATTGAACAACCCAGCGGCCGACACCCCCTGAAATCCCCAAACTAGGGTGGACTTGAAAATGATCCCACTTATTGGCTCACCACACCTCAGTAAGTGGGTGAGGACAAGGTGCAGAAAAAGGATTGACGGCATCAGGGTATCCGTCCCGGGATCCAACTGCAGGTACCCCTGCCCCCAGTGAAGCTAATACTTGCTACTAGTGTGGGTGGCTAAATCAGAGTGGATCTGATATAAACTTCACTAGCACCATTGATTACACAAGAGTTAATCTAGCCAGAAGCAGTCCATGGTTAACAGGTATGTATACTTCAAATAGAAAGTATATGAACCCTGAAACCAACAAAGGTGGTAGGTACAACAATACACCTTCAAGCAGCCGAGCCCGTTGGCAACAGGCCCAACACTATCTGGCATAAGTGTACCCACCAACCAAACTAGCTGACACACACACACACACACACACACACACACACACACACACACACACACACACACACACACACCTCAGACCTCAGACATGCCCATTGCGGAAGCGATAATAGCGAACAGCTATGATAGACATAGCAACTTGTGCTGGGATTACACCATTCAACAGCTTGCAAGGCTGATGAATTGACCGCCACTAATTTATAGCCTGGTATCCACCACACAGCTGATTGAAGTGACTTTTTTCTGGCCAGTGCATCCCTATTTTTCATTTATATTTACATACACACACACATATATTACACACCTACACACACACACACACACACATAATTATATTACACACCCACACACACACACACCCACACATACACACACCATGTACCATGTATACGCTTGTCGCAAGAGAAGCACACAAACCTGCAAATGCACTGGATAGCACACACACACACAAAGCAACACTGCCACCACTATGCAGCATGTATGCCAGCAGCTGCAAGAGCAGCATGTAAATCAGCGGCTAGTGCCGTGACTGGCAATATGCCCACCATAGTTCCCTGTCTCCTCCAACCACCTTGGTTTTTCACCTACTAAGGTAAGGACTATCCAATCAGCCCGGAGGCCTCCTGCCAAACTGGACTGCAGCAACTGCTTGCAAGAGAAATCTATTTCACACAGCCTTTGGTCTCTTGTCAGAATGTCGATGTTCAACCCGTACACATGCAGTGTGGACAGAGCATGTACGACTGATATGCCATGTAAGTATGAAGTGACCGGGGTCTGGATTAGAGATACCGTCTAAACCACTCATCCACACGATATCTGATAATCATACCGACCGTGTAAGGAACCAGAGTAATCAGGGCGCACTCCGGCCACAGTGTTTACACTACAAATATCTGCGGCTAGATGCCAGGCGTACCGAATGCATCTGTGCCTATTCAACCATCAAGCCAGACAGTGTTTATATCGGATGCGCACCACCTCCCAGGGAGTCATAGCATCTAGGGAGACCACACGGGCACCAGGGTCGCGACATGATGCGGGTTTTCCTTCTGGGCTGTCCGTTCCTGTCACCTGTGCTGAAGGGCCAGTTCATGTACGCTTGCATAGTTATGGTTTCGCTGGTCTGGGCTGCGTTCGGAGTCAGCAGGTCAAGGTCACACGATACTGCAGATCATGTAGAATAATTCTGAATATGTGGTCGAAACGCACGTCGTTCTGGGCACCATGATCTGGTGCCGTCTCCCTAGAGGCTACAACTCCGTGAAGTGGACTTTTATACGGTGTGGGCGTGGACTGTGGAATCCGATCTTCAGGTACATGTATCGTATACAACACATGTTTGCGCTTTAACAGATGAGACGTTACGAACCTTCCATTTGATGAGGTTTGCTGCAAATTTGTTTCGAAAAACAATAAATAAATCGGCTTAACGGAAGGTATGTAGCCACTACTGCACTAGGTAATCCTGATAACGTTATACACGTAGTACCGATATTAGCAATAGTGTTGCGTTCCCAAGTTAGTTAGTGTTGTTGTTGTTTGGCTTTATTTAGTTAGTAAGTTCCATGCACAAACAAAATCTTTCCAACTGATGATGACATAATAATCTTATCAAGAAAATACGGGAGAAGCTGCAATGTGATAGTGTGCCTAATCCCTCAAATATTTCGAGTTTCTACCACTATCGAACGAACCTTGTAGTTCTTGGGAAGATGGGCTTTGCCCTTGGCGTCCAAATCAAGCTTTCGGGGATCCATTTTCTCAGCCCCGCAGCCAAGTCTACCTGGTCTACAGAGTCTAGGTACGCACAGTTATGACTGTATCGTGAATCCCGAAGACGGCGAAGGTAACGACTAACGACGTTACGTATAACGATAACTGGCCTGTCACGACTCGACGTAGATCTACTCACGATCCGAGTTAAAATCGGCCCCAACCTCGTCTTATGACATAATTAAAAATTAATAATATGAAAATAATTTTTTTAATTCGCTTCGTTGCCATGGTAACCGATATGGCGCCCCGAAGTAACCATGGTAACATAGTTGTCATAAATGACTTTTTGTACATGTATGAGTACTCGAGTGTGGTCACACACCGACTCTGTAAAGTGTACATGACACATGTCATCCAGCATTCCAGGCGTACTATTACTGTATTAGTAGGGAGGTTCTGCTCTACGTTTTGGGAACGCGACGCAAAGAATCACGCGAACTTTCTTCGCGTTCCCGTAACGTAAAGAAATGCTGTTCTGCTCTACGTTTCACCTAGAGAAGTCACGTGGAATGTGTACTGGGAATTTCCCCTTCCATATTTGGCAGTTTTCTGCATGCAGTTGATCGATACCCAGCAAATCCGTACGCATTTTCTCTGCGTGTGCCACAACGTAGAGAACCCCATCTCCGCGTAGAAATCTGGAGCCAAAACACGCGAAGCCGTAGACTCTAACCCAGACACCTGCTCTCTACGTGATTTCTCTACGTTTCACGTATAGCAGAACCTCCCTAGTATTACCATGATTACCAAGAGGGGTACTCTTGGTATTACTTGTCTTTGCAGCCCAGTGATACTAGCAGCTTTTTAGTTTTAAGAAGCACATGTACAGTGATTTGTAACTTCAGTTGCGCTGAAAAGTGAAAATACAGGACTTCTGCATAGGAAAGTATACGAGAGAGACTCGTACTGCAGTACGGAAACCTGGTTTACCAAAATTTTCGCGCTGCTGAACCGTTGATTTTGAGAAATACCGAAAATATTAGTAGTAGTAGTAGTAGTAGTAGTAGTAGTAGTAGTAGTAGTAGTACTAGTAGTAGTGCTGAGAAGAACGTCGACCTACACGTATCGGTAATCATGGGTCAGCTCCGTTGTAAGCTGTCAGTCTGCCTTATGCGATGGGCAGTCACCTGTTTGCGTGGTTCAAGATCGTCATACCGCCGCAACAGGATGAATTTCACGACGATGTGCAGGTTGCGGGCAGCCTGAGCGTGATAGTACCTGACAGACATTTGCCCAACATTGCCCCATGATAATGAATTCTTGAGTTTTTGGACATTGTATTGCATTGCTGCTCCATCTACATGGCTGTATTTGTGTTTCACATCTCCATTTCAAGTTTCCTAATAAAGATTGTGTCAAGTAGTAGTAGTAGTAGTAGTAGTAGTAGTACTAAGTAGTAGTATTTATTATTTTGTTAGGGAAATCCCTACAGACGTTGCCGTAAATATTACACCGGCACTGAAAATTCCTGCTTTTACAGTACAGCATACTGGAAGTGGAAGACCTTCACTGCTTCAGCAGCATAGCACTAGCAGATCAGAGCATAGTACTTCAGTCTTGCATGCACCATGCATGTGCGCAGGCACTGATCCCTCATTTGACTTCATTTCCCTTTGTCCGTATGTACATGACATTTAGTGTACAATGTTTATACCAAGAGTACATTATTTGTGTACCAGCCTCAAGATCACCCAGCTCGCCTCGGAGACCTCCCACACTTGCGACCAGCGGAAAAGCGTTTATTTTAAAACATTGCCAGACCTTATAGGACTCGGGGTATACTCGTACTCCTTCGTGTCACCGGTGACATTTCGTCCCTCCAATTGTTCAATTGCTTCCACTATAAAACTGCCATGACAACTACTTCAGCAGCCATTCAGCAAATACTGTGACATCATTCAATCCTTGTGTAAAAATCAATGCAGCTCATCCACAACAGAAAAAAACAGTTTAGGAATCACAAAGCAAAATCCAGTTTTGTCCACCAGAAAAGAATGTCCTAAAACAGGAGACAGGAAATGGCTACAGTGCTTCTTAATCTTAAATTGTGCAGTAATAAGTGAAAAAAGTTGGTTTAAAACTGACAGAAAGCAATACTAAACGAGAGAGCTTGGAAGCTCAGGGCCCTGCGCTATGCTTTTATGCTTTTTTGCCTAGCTCATCGTACATGTTATAAGAACTGATGGGAATGTCTTTTTCGTTGATTGGCCACATCACTGTATTGCAAAAACGTTTCAATCGGTTTGCTTATGAGTTAGGCAAAAGTATTTGCAGAATTTATTGCGGATTGTTATTTCTCTAATAATCATCTACTTTTGTTTTGCTCCTTCTTTTCTTTTTATCTCCTTATATTGTAAATCAACAAATTTTGGCCGATGAGAAATAGAAACCTCTCTACTAGAGAGGTTAAGATGCACGTTATTTCCGACGTGACGCGCAGTTTCACGTCAAATTTGAAATCGATCGGTATTTTTGCTCTCACATGCATCCATTGCTCAATCATGCATCATTTGCCTATATGACAAACGTTGGCCTGCGATTTACTTTGGCCGGTTGGTACCAAGCGGCGAAATCAGCGAAATTAAATCGCCAGCGAACATTAGTTGATTTTAATACAGTGATCGGATTTTCTGGCCTTTTTGTAGTAATACATGTGCATTGACCTGTTGAGCCAATGACGACGCCGAATGCATGGTTGCCTGTGGAGCACATCACATAACTTTACAGTCTCCTAAAATACGTATCCTGTCCGACGGCAAAAGAGGCTGCAGATTTAGTTTTTCTGCGCGTCGACGGGATGTCTGCGACGCGAAAGTTTAGCTCGCGTTATTTGGCTCGCACGTCGAAAAATCAACGCGAGTGACCTGCTGCTCACGTCGAAATTTGGACATTACATAAATTTACAGTCTCCTATATAAAAACGTATCCTGTTCGACGGCAAAAGAGGCTGCATATTTAGTTTTTCTGCGCGTCGACGGGATGTCTGTCCTGACGTTTACTGGGACCGGCGCTGACTCTGCCGATCACGGGCGTTCTGGACTCGACGAGATGTCTGTCCTGACGTTTCCTGGGATCGGCTTAGACTCTGCCGATCACGGGCGTTCTGGACTCAAAGGGATGTCTGTCCTGACGTTGCCTGGTACCGCCGGACTCTACCGATCACGGGCGTTCTGGAGTCGACGGGATCTCTCTTCCGACGTTTCCTGTGACCGGCACTGAATCGATCGTTCACGCTTATTTTGGAGACGACGGGATCTCTCTTCCAAAGTATGTTTATGCTGACGCATCCTATGACCTAATCGGCGTCTATTCTAATTTAATTTCCTCTTCGTCTCCCTATTTTTTTCCAAATCTCCCTCTACATCAGGGAGTCGTATACATAATACGACGAATATTGGTACGGTACGGGACAGATACAGGAGCCCGCAAATATTGTGGACAGCTGTTATGTACAATCCTGTACAGCCTTTGTAGTCACAGATACGGGACAGATACGGGACAGATACGGGATAGCTCCAGCCGTGACACAAACAAACAAACAAACAAACAAACAAACAAACACCAAATTAAAGCTGTGTGGACCCTGGCTAGCGCCAGACGTTACTTAAGTAACGTCTTCTGCATAGCTACGGGAATTAATATTGGTTAAGATGGCTCCAATGCACAAACCAGTAGGCTACTGAGTCTTCCATCTCAGTAGGTTAATGGATAAGGAAAGCCTACAGGGGCGAAGGTATGAACAATGAAGACAAATACAAGCTAAGTTAGTCCCACAGCATGCTAGCAAGCAAGCCTTTTGCCAACTGTTACTGGACGATGACGAGACTAGCACAATGCTGGACCAGGTGGTCTAACTACAACTGGAAACAGCGTAAACAACATAATTATTATGTTTAGAAAAAGAAAAGAAGATGGAACTAATGATGAACACGACGCGTGTATCTCTGAGTTCCCCACACTGGCAGCTACAGTGCCATGTTCTGTGTTGATTCAAACAGGGAGCAGAGCAATGCCCTGCTAGCAGTAATCAATCAGGCGCCGCTGGACACGACAGGAAGACATTCCCGGTGAATTCTGCCGACAGCCACACCGCTGGGAGAATGGATTCAATAGTACAAAATCGAAGCCTTTGCGGAGCACATGCTCGCGCACCTCCTCGTTTACCTCCTCGTTCATCTCCTCGTCTACCTCCTCGTCCACCCTCCTCGTCCCCATCCTCGTCTACCTCCTCGTCCACCTCCTCGTCCCCATCCTCGTCTACCTCCTCGTCCCCATCCTCGTCTACCTCCTCGTCCCCATCCTCGTCTACCTCCTCGTCCACCTCCTCGTCCTCATCCTCGTCTACCTCCTCGTCCACCTCCTCGCCCCCATCCTCGTCTACCTCCTCGTCCACCTCCTCGTCCCCATCCTCGTCTACCTCCTCGTCCACCTCCTCGTCCCCATCCTCGTCCACCTCCTCGTCTACCTCCTCGCGCACCTCCTGGTCCCCATCCTTGTCTACCTCCTCGTCCCCATCCTCGTCTACGTCCTCGTCTACCTCCTCGCCCCCGTCCTCGTCTACCTCCTCGCCCCCATCCTCGTCTACCTCCTCGCCCCATCCTCGTCTACCTCCTTGTCCCCATCCTCATCTACCTCCTCATCCCCATCCTCGCCCCCAACCTCGTCTACCTCCTCGCCCCCATCATCGTCTACCTCCTCGCCCCCATCCTCGTCTACCTCCTCGTCCCCATCCTCGTCCACCTCCTCGTCCCCATCCTCGTCTACCTCCTCGCCCCCATCCTCGTCTACCTCCTCGTCCCCATCCTCATCTACCTCCTCGTCTACCTCCTCGTCCCCATCCTCGTCTACCTCCTCGCCCCCATCCTCGTCTACCTCCTCGCCCCCATCCTCATCTACCTCCTCGTCCCCACTGTACCAGACGAGTAACTTCTTTTCTGGACATCGCGCGGGCTTGCGACTAGCTGGTTTGGAAATGACAGCGTTGTGAATGACCGAGGGTCCTCTACGTCTGTTCTCACCGTCCAGGAGCGACTCACGCTGCTATTTTTGGTGTTCACGAGGTGTTTGTCGCGCTGGAAACGGAGCGTCTCTGTAAGTTTGTATCCCTGGTGATGTTTGTGCCTGGAGGGCACCATGTAAGTCCATAGGCTGAATCACCTTTGTCCAGTGATTTGCAGTCGATACAAACTGTTCTCGACCTGTTCTAAGCGTTTTCATACCCATCAAAAATTCAGGATTTTGATAAATCCATCACGAAGTTTTGCTAACGGAGGAAGTATATATATAATAAGTTAATAACCCGCAGGTTGGCACGGGCATCGGGATCAGTGTTGCCTCAGCCGCAGGCTGATCGCGATGGCTTCGCCAGTTAGGGGGCTGGGGCTGCAATGCATGGTGGCTCCACCTCCACAGCATGATCATGATGATGGAGCTCCTGCATGCACGACGCGATGAAGTCGGTATCGGTAGGGTCATTGTGCCTCATGTGGATGAACCCCGAGATCGAGAGCTTGCAAATTTGCGAATGGTCGACCGAGAATCTTGAACGTGCACAGGGACAGAACGCTGGTCAAAAGACAACCTACCATGTCGACCAGGTACAGCCACCATCTGATTCTCCGTCTCCAAATCCCTCACTTCGTGCTTTGTCAGAGCAGCTGGTAGTACATGACTTGTACTAGTAGACGGCTGTGAATAGCACCCTGTAGTGTTTAGCCTGTAGAGCCTGCATCACGCATGTGCCTGCATCACGCATGTGCCTGCATCACGCATGTGCCTGCATCACGCATGTGCCTGCAACCTGCATCACGCATGTGCCTGCATGACGCATGTGGTCACCAACAGTGGGCATACTGTAGTTTGAAACTCGGGTATTGAGCCAATAATAAATATTAAATGTAGAAAGGAAAAAAAGGACATAATATGGAAACGAGTGGGCATAGTGTTGGAGGAATGTTGAAGTGTTGGAGGAATGGCCATCGGTGAGGCAAACCGAAGGCGAATGCGGCGTGCGGAATGTGTAGCTGCTACGTTGGCAGGGCGCTCAACCTGGCTTTCCGAAGTACAGTAAATAGGAGTTATGGGCAGTGCCCACTCTGCCCAGTCAAGGACCGCCCGGATAAGAGAGATCGAGTGTGCAAACATGTACATGACTCAATCCCGGCAGTGTACCGCAAGCACGAAAAGGAAAAGAGAAGAAGTTATGAGAGAAGAGTCGTTGAGGTAGAGCATGGATCATTCATCCCGGTCGTGCTCAGCACTACAGGTGGTCACGGCAAGGCAGCTGGCAATCTCTACGCTCGGATTGCATCCATGTTGGCCGATAAGAGGTCCGAGCCTTTCTCTATCGTCATGGCATACATCCGCACTCAACTGTCTTTTGCACTGGTCAATGCCGCAGTCACAGCCCTGAGAGGTCATCGGCACAAAGCGTCAAGAATCAACGGCTGCCCTTCGATCACGTTAGCAGTGGCAGAATGCAGCATGTAATGGTCAATCCTTGACTTAATTTGGTAATCGTTTTAGTACCTCGAACCCCGTGCTGAGTTTGATACGGTTTCTGGTATCTTGGCCGTAGACTACTACGCATACTGCTTCTAGCGGTTTCTTTGGATTTTACTGATTGATTACTAGTATACTGTATTTATTTAACATGACTGTACTGTACACTGTACCGGTACACAATGGTACATGTATGGCGATGACAGCACGTCACAGACACAAGGCGGAAAACAGTGTTTCTGACTGCAGCCATATAAAAACCGGTTGGTAGCAGGGAGCCCTACACAGAACTATGTGTACGGCTCCCGGCCTGGTTGGGCCTTGGTAGAGTCCCCCCATCTTGCGACCATTATGAACCGTCTGCTACCGCCATTGCATCTTCTACTGGAGGCATGTCAACGTCCATGGGCAGCATCAGGTCTTTCAGGATGACAGCGTGTAACTAGTTACTGTTAGGTCGGTACTGACTCTGGTACAAGGCGGAGTACACACTCAGTGTACGGAAACTATTGCCGTATCAAGACTTCAAGAGTTCATATCAAGACTTCAAGAGTTCATAACCGGGGTTATGAACTCTTGATGCTACACTACAGAACATGCCCATGTGACCATGGTGACCATAAATCGCTTTTCCAGCTTTGAACCAGGGAGTCGTACCCAAATCATCCATTCATATCATAATTCATGGTTTGGGTACGACTCTCTGCTTTCAACTTACTCCGGGAATGCTCGCGGCTGAAGCTCCTTGGAGTGACGTTTGATGCCCATCTAACATACTCGGAGCACCTTCGAGGAACTGCAGTGCGTGCCACACAGCGAATTGGTTTCTTCCGGAAGGCGTGCCATGTCCTGGACCCACCGGGCCGGGCCACAGCATACCGGGGGTTCATTCGGCCTCTAATGCTATAATGGAGTACTGCCCACTTGTATGGATGGGAGCTGCTGCTACCCATCTCTCACAGCTAGACCGAGTCCAGCATCGTGCCCTCACCCTGATTGGGACAGGGGCTGCAATGGACACTCTGTCCCTGCCGCGCCGTGTGGCCGGCCTCACAACTCTGTACAAGCTCCATTACATCGCAAGCCCACCAGCTCTTGCAGCGACACGCCCAGCCAGAGCCATCGCACCCGCCATCGCGCCTGCCACACGTCGCTGCTCGGCAGCCAACCTTGCGCACGAGCTTCAACTCCAGACAGCCCTACCTGCCAGATCCTGCAATGTTGCGCTGCGCTCTTTCCCGGAGTGCCTCATCGAAGCCTGGAATGAGCTGCCAGCCACTCTCCTCCGCGATGCACCGTCTGCCAAAGGGATGCAGCAGTTCAAGGTTCTGACCTACCGCTACCTGAAACGGTCGGGTTGGTCATTGGCCACGGACATCACCCCCTAGGCTACTGCCAGTACGACCCTGTTGATGTTCTCGGAGCACTCCCTTCTCATCAAACTCCCAATCCATCTGTCTTTATCTCTCTCTAACTCTCCTCCATTCTCACTCTAATCTTTCGTCAAATCTGCACGGCAATCAGCCTCTACTTTCGCCTCAGCATCATGATCTTGATACTGCTATCTTTGTACTTGTTTGCGTACTTGTTTGCACTCATATCTTGGAATAACAAGTTTCCTGGTTTCCTCCCCTCCCTCCTCTCTTTCCTACCCTTAGAGTTCTTGCTCTCCTGCTCCCCTCCCCGCCCTTCCACTCCCCATTTTGTTTCCTTTGGTGCACATGTGCAGCTGTGATGCCGAGACCCTTGGTCGGCTGAGCTTCACAGGTCCCACCCACTCCGTCCTGCTGGATATGTACCATTGTGTCGAGTTCTTCTCCTCATTTTAGTTCATCATGCAGTGAGCGTTCAAAAGTAAAAAAATAAAATAAAAAAAAACTTGCAGGGATCGGGAGTCATCAAATACTGTAGACCAGGGAGTAGTACAATACTGTATTGTACTACTCCCTGCTGTTATGTAGACCATGGTAGACGACTCCCTGCTTTGAACCAGGGAGTAGTACAATACCGGGTATTGTACTGTACTCCCTGCTTTGAACCAGGAAGTCGTCTCTGCTTTGAACAGATATGGGATTCTACGGTATTTGTACAGGATTTCGTATCTGTACGTGCGTAAGTACGGTATGTGGTTTTCATATCAGGGAGTTGTATAGTAATACACCGCGTAGTAGAGAGTCTACACACATGCCACATACACACATACATTTTGTCACTCGATCTCACCACTCGTAGATCTACTCATGCATGGCGCCCATGGCCCAGTGCATGCAACAAGTGCATGCAACATGCGCAAGGTCCGCGGCCGCATTGTTTTGGCCGCAAACCGCGGATATGGATATCATCATGACGTCACGCGTCTGTGGTCATATCACGAGTGTTCAACAAAGCCAAAAGTGGCAAAAGTGGCGATTGTCTTCCACTCACAGGTGAAGGAGTGTTCTGTCGACCACGACCAGTGCAGTGGCAAGTTGTAGAGTGTGGAGTTGTAGATTGTATCTACGCGTTCGTGTCGCTTCAGATTTCCATCATCAGATAGATCTAGTTCACAACAAAGACGTAGTAGACACTTCGTGATTTCTCCTGCACAGGCAACAGCTTATTTCGACGTTTCAGACGTCACATCCTTTCCAAGGGTCTCGGTGTTTGATTGTGTTCTCGGTGGACATCATGCCGAAGCCGATGCCTTCGGCACTGAAGTGGACTGTAGGACTCTGTGTTTTCCTACTGCTGGCGCAAGCCTCCGCACTGCCGCAGAGTAAGCAGTAGTCTTGGAGGTCCAGCACCCCTACTTACCGAGGTGTTACTGGCTGATCCGATCCACCGGAGCACTGCCGGTTAGTCGCATTCACCCATGTTTCTCTCTCTCTCTCTCTCTCTCTCTCTCTCTCTCTCTCTCTCTCTCTCTCTCTCTCTCTCTCTCTCTCTCTCTCTCTCTCTCTCTTTTTTTTTTTTGCTGTGTCCACAGAGAGACTTGGCCACTTTATCAGACACTACGAGCCAGTGAGATATGACAAGGAGGAATTTCACAAACACCACACGGATTTCTCACGACGGTGGCAGAAGGGTGAAACCATTCCATATGATTTCACACTCAAGCTTGAGGCTCATGGCAGGTGAGTGTTCAAGACCACCAATGGCTTTGCTCCAGATGCACACCAAAACAAAGGGCGACATTTAAACACACTGTCAGGTCCAAACCCAAGTATGCACTCGCATACGTGAATGGCACACACATACACACACACATACACACACACACACACACACACACACACACACACACACAAGCACATACACGCACATACACACACACACACACACACACACACGCACCTGTCCTGTTCCGTCCTGCTGGCCCTCAGCCGTAAAGGTTACGTGATCCCATCGCAGGAGGAGGAGGGAGAGGACCACGCACGCTGGTGTCGTGTCACGTCAGGTCCCTATAGTCAGTCGAAATCTCCGGGAGCAGTGCTGACACAGTAGTGGAAACTTGACACGTTCATCCGTTGCTGGGCGGTTCTGTCAAGGTCTACAAGGAGCGGGCTGGCTACCGATTGAGCTAGGCTGCCACTTGTGCACAGCGAATCCACCTCTGCTACGACACCATTTCCCAGTATCTGCGCATTGACATGCACCACGCTGCTGTTGTACTGGATTGCTACGCTCCCCTGTGCACTCGTGGCGATTAAAGTCGCTTGGTTTAGAGCAGACCTTTCCATAGCCAGGGGGCACTCAACGGGGGCTGCTACGGCAAGTTCTTTACCCTGGTCTTGGTATCTACATCGCCATTCTATGCGGGATGTGGTGGCGGTGGTCTGGGATGTGGTGGCGGTGGTCTGGGATGTGGTGGCGGTGGTCTGGGATGTGGTGGCGGTGGTCTGGGATGTGGTGGCGGTGGTCTGGTACCAGTTCACAATCTGATTGTGGCAGAGATCGACTGGCACACAGTCCTTCCAACGCTTCCTTGGTGCACACAGTCCTTCCAACGCTTCCTTGGTGCATTGGCAGGTCCGACAGGTGGGAGGTGGCCGAATAAAAGGCATGCAGGTGTCATCCATGCGCGCCAGGTCACCCAGCCATTCTAGTCGGCAATGCGGCAGAGTTTACAGGTGATGGTCTCCTGGTCTCCCCACATACGCAATATGCCGGCATTGCTGATATGGGCTGATGTGGGCATCCCGCATCTACTGTATTGACACGCCAAGGATGGAGCGAATGCAACGCATATGGAAAGTGGATAGGCACTGTAAGTCGCCCTGTAGGGGGACCCAGCACTCCAAACCGTATAGCAGCAAGGTCGTGACACACGCGCTTAAACACACCTCTTCACAGAGACAGGAAGCTGACAGTTTGCAAATACACGGCACTGTAGAGCACCACAGGCCTTGGAGGCACTTGCATTGCGGACATTGGCATCCACTGCCGAATGGCTGTTGTTGTCAATGATAGAACCCAGATACCTGAACTCAGGCACATGCTTGATCTCAACACCTGCCACAGTGAGTGGGACACAGTCTGCATCTTGGATGTTGCTGCCACCCACCATGAACTGAGTCTTGGTAGTGCTGACAGGACAGTAAGTCCATAATCAGCAGTCGCCTGGAACACAGAGAGTGCGAACTGACCGCGTAGTCGCCAACAAGGCTGAGTTGTTGGCGAGCTGGCATTCCCCAAACCTGGTCGAGATCTTTCGCGTCCTGGGCTTGCCGAATAAGTTGCCGTCAATGCAGTAGCGGATCTCCACGCCTACTCCAGAATCTGTCGACACTCTCCGAGACCAGACTGTGTCCCTGGGACGTGCGGATTGTGGCAGACATAGCTGTGTGGAAGGACTTGATGACAGCGAGGAGGGGATCCGGTACCCCAGCCCAAGCGAGCACACACTACATGCACTCTCTGGGTACTGAGTCATAGGCAATGCGCAAGTCGATGAAAACCGTGTAGCCTTTTGTGTCATGCTCGAGCGATTTCTCAACAAGTGGGTGCACAGAGAAGAAGATCATGTCTGAGCACGAGCGCCCACGCCTAAAATCACGCTGCGAATCCGGCAGCAGGGTCCACTAGCCGCTGGAGGTGTGTCTGTATGATGGCAGCCAACACTTCCCCCACAACATGTAGCAGGGCAATGCCACGTCAGTTGTCACGCAGTTGTAGGTGACCCGTTTTGGGAAGGGGTACGAGAGTAGCATTGACCCACTCCTGCGGTAATTGTTCGGACTACCACACTGTACCAAACAGATCCAGCATCCTGTCTCGTAGTGGGAAACCTCCAAACTTTACCAGTTCTGGCAAGATCCTGAAGGCGCCAGCAGCCTTGCCGGGCTTCAGCTTGTCGATTGCACGTCGTACCTCAGCTGACGTTGGGTGGGTTAGCCAGATCACCAGCAACCGGGCAATGTGGGAGAGAGTCTAGAACCGCAGGGTCAAGCGTAGATGGGACATTCAACACTGTGTCGAAATGAGGACTCCAACGGTCCTCCTGTTCCTCTTGAGACTCGTGCAAGTTACCATTTTCATCCTTGATAGCAGACACTCAGGTGTTCACTCTTCGCCGACAGCATGCTTGCACATCTCGTATACATTCCATACCGTCGCACCATAAAATAGGGACTCCGAGGCCTCCTGTGCCTTGTTCTTGATCCATTGCACCTTCACATGGCGCACCACAGAACGAGCAGCAGCACAGGCAGCAGCACAGGCAGCCTTGAACTTAGAATAGTGACCATCACTGAGCCTACCACGTTGGACCCACACATTATACATTTTGTACATTGCATTGCATTATTCATCCAGGAGTGGTTGAATGTCGTCCTGTCTATCAACAAACCAGTCTGACTGCCGTCACAAGCACACACACACACACACACACACACACACACACACACACACACACACACACACACACACACACACACACACACACACACACACACACACACACACATACACACACTTGTCCTGTCCTTAAGTTTACCTGTGGACCGACAGACATGAGGTAGATAAGTTGGGTACACTGTGCTAGTTGGGCATGGTAATGGTCCACAGCTCAGTGTCCAGTGATGCTGAGGAGATGCTTAGCACAAATATGAAGCTGGAGCTCTCTCCTGACCCTGCATCACCTGCCATAGGCACTGCAGTGTGTTTTGCTGTATAGCCAGGTGTGCTGTTCCCTACAACTGTATTGAAGCTTTGGCAATCTTTGGCAATCTTTGGCAATCCCAATCCTTGGTACATGTACTACTACATGCTTCTGAGTCCATATCTACTGGACAGTTTTGTACTTTTCCATATCTCGCATGCCTGAATGACAGGATATGGCATGTGTGTGTGTGTGTGTGTGTGTGTGTGTGTGTGTGTGTGTGTGTGTGTGTGTGTGTGTGTGTGTGTGTGTGTGTGTGTGTGTGTGTGTGTGTGTGTGTGTGTGTGTGCTGCCGTCCTCCCCTGTTCTTTCCAGGGTCTTTCGTCTGGAGCTTCACCCTGATGATGAAGTGTTCGCCCGTGGTGCCAACTTTCTAGATGGTACTGGCAATGACTTTGAAATAGACCGTGCATCTGTGCTTGTTGGTCGGGTAGCTGGAGACCCGAGTAGCTTTGTGCATGGATCCATGTTGAACGGTCGTTTCCGCGGTATCATCACTGCCTTTGGAGACAAGTTTACAGTTGAGCCGTCGTTGGTGCACTTTAACGATGAGCCGGACTTCCACACAGTCATGTATAAGAGCACAGACATCGACCACGAGAAGGCGTTGTCTAAGCATTCCTGCGGTGGCCACAACTACACCAGTCACTATTCTATGCCAGTGCCCGGCAATCCTGTCTTCGACGGCTTGCACGCTCACCTCGAAGACGTTGGAAAGTCGCGGCAGCGCCGAAACACGAACTTCAACTACTCCAAGATTGAGTGCCATATCAACATAGCCGGGGATCAGGTCTACTCGGAAGAGATTGCCAGAATTGAAGGTAAGGCACAGTGAGGCTGCAGGCTTGCTGCCGCATGTCTTGTAGATACATGTAATGCTGTAGGCTTTGGTGCAGACGATCAATCGACATGCAATTTTGTGGAACATCACATTCTTGACACCAACAGCAGCAGCCATGAAAGCCAGATGTGTGTTGTATGGATGGCATTCACTTTGCTGCCGTGCTCTTCTTGCCGTGCTCTTCTTGCCGTGCTGTTCTTGCCGTGCTCTTCTTGCGGGCCAGCCCTAGTTGTGCACTGAGTCACATGGCAGCGTCCAGTCACAGTGGTGTTGCACTTGTGCATACTGCATCCTGACGTGTATGTTCAACTGTTCATGGTCTTATCTTCTCTCAGCCGTGTATGTTCAACTGTTCATGGTCTTGTCTTCTCTCAGCCCTTCCTATCGCCGACAGGCGGCGCGTTCAGTCAGCTGTCGTGCAAGCACTTGCCCTCTTTGTCAGAGAGGCCAACAGGATCTTTACAACGACAAAATTTATTAAAGAAAGGGTTTCAGACACTCCGGAGGGTGTGAAGATGGTAATCCAAACCGCACGTGCTTACATCACAGATGCCGACATGAAGGTCTTCAAGGGCACAGACAGCAAGTTGACTGACCGCCTGCTCAGCGCAGACAGTGTTCTAGACGATTGGGCCAAGGTAACTACAGCCATATAATGTGTGTGTGCACATGTGTGCATGTGTGTGTGTGTGTGCATGTGTGTGTGCATGTGTGTGTGCATGTGTGTGTGTGTGTGTGTGTGTGTGTGTGTGTGTGTGTGTGTGTGTGTGTGTGTGTGTGTGTGTGTGTGTGTGTGAACTGCAATCGTGGTGCGAGACCATCTGCTGCTGAGAGAGCAGCTCTCCCCCTCAGCTGCCCACATTGTAAATGCAATTTCCGCCGGCAGCAGGACCTAGCCAGACATTCGCGGTCCTGCTTGTGATCCGACTCCCGTTCTCTGGCCCCCTTTTCATAGGGATGACACTTGCCCATCTGGGCAGTCATGCTGCTAGTAGTAGTAGCAAGAGTACATAACACCCCAGAGTGTGCAACGCCTGATCCAGCTCTGCATAGGGTCTTGGTCTAGCGGAATCGGATCTTTGCGTCATAATACCGTACACATCTGAGGGGAACCCGGGGAGTCGCGGGTTCTCTTGGATCAAAAACAATGGTGCCTGCCTCGAGACCGGCCTTGCGCTGGTGTGGAGTGTACACATGACCTCAGAAGATCCGATTCCGCTCGACCAATACCCTATGCAGAGCTGGATACGCGTTGCACACTCTGGGGGGTTATGTACTCTTGGTAGTACCGTAAAGTACCGCCAGAGCGCCCCGTCTCGCGAGAGCGCCCCACCTTGATTTTACAGCCAGAGAAAGGAAAATCGTATGGCAGAGTGCAACGAAGTGTGTGCGATGTGAGAATCTTAGTGTACTAAGGTCACACTTGGCAGGTTTTTGTGTGGAGCTTGTGTCCACTCGAAGGTACGGATTGACTGCAAACCGTGCAATATGTGTACAAGGTTCATGTTGTATGACCTACAGACAGCAGACCACCTCCACGCTACGACCACGAAAGGATGAGATGGTGGGGCGCTCTGGCGGTACTTTACGGTAGTAGAAGTAGTAGTAGTAGTAGTAGTAGTAGTAGTAGTAGTAGTAGTAGTAGTAGTAGTGGTGTGTGCGTGTGCGTGTGTATATGTGTGTGTGTGTGTGCATATGTGTGTGCGTGTGTGCGTGTGTGTGTGTGTGCAAACATGCACCCATCTGCGCACGTGTCTGTGTGTATGTGTTATGGGTTCAATTTCTGCCATTCTCCTGTGTGGTTACCAACAACCAGTGCATGCCGGAGGTCATGTACTTCGAAGTATGCATGTTGATATTTGCTGGGGGGGGGGGGGGGGGAGGGAGGGGAAAAGGACCAAAAAGTAGGGATTCACTGGCCAGAAAAACCCAATTCGAACAGCTATGTGGTGTAGACCAGCCTGAACAGCGGCAGTCAATTCTTCAGCCTTGCAAGCTGTTGAAAGATGCAATCCCTGTACAAGGTGGTATGGCTTCTGCTGTAGCATCGCGATCATCGCCTGCAGCTATGGGCGTCAAAAGCTAAATGTGCGTACGAGAAGGGATGAAAGGGACGTGTTGTTTTCCTGTAGCCCAACCGCGCCCAATTCTTCTTTATCAATTTCCAAATATTCTGCTGTATATCGCCGGTGGATGAGAGTCCCATCTTTCGTACTCCTGTTTATTCATGGTGAAAGCATCTCCGAAAATGTGAAAACTCCTGCACATACAAGTACGGAGGTTGCCCGCGATTTCTACCCAGGGGCTTGCTCAAGAATCATGAGGTAGACATCATCCGACCTTTTGCATGCTGTGTCCTCTCCCGAGTCTATACAACTCCCTGGTCTACCCTCGCACCATTGCGAGTCCACCCCATACACATTACCGTACTCTCGCGATTAGACCCCTCTCTTGAACAGTGCCCTCTCTTGAATAGTGCCCCTGTCGCTGAGAGCCAATGAAAAAATAAAGCTCTCTCTCTCTCTCTCTCTCTCGCTCTCTCTCTCGCTCCCTCTCTCTTTCCCTCTCTCTCGCTCCCTCCCTCTCTCTCGCTCCCTCTCTCTCTCTCCCTCTCTCTCTCTCCTCTCTCTCTCTCTCTCTCTCTCTCTCTCTCTCTCTCTCTCTCTCTCTCTCTCTCTCTCTCTCTCGCTCGCTCCCTCTCTCTCTCTCTCTCTCTCTGGAATAGTGCCCCCTCCCCGGGCTTGCAATCAAGCAGATGTCCAAGTTTGATGTTGTTTTGCTAGTGGTCTTGTCCATGCAAATCTCCTGGTGGATTCAGGATCAGAATTGCAATTCTTCTTTCAGTTTCTGTTGAGTCCTGATAGTTTAAAGGAAACTTTAAACCCTGTTTTTTTTCCTTAGTTTTATGGCGGAGGACGTAAATGTATCAGCATTGAAAAAATAGTAACCTCTCTTGAATAGTGCCCCATCCGTGATGAACTTTGAAAGAATAGTGCCCCAGGGGCACTAATCGCGTGAGTACGGTATATGGGTCGACTCCAACACTATTCTGAGATTCATATGAGTTTCCCCACATTATTATTAGTCACCTCCACCACTATTATTATTACTATATTTATTAGTCACCCCCACCACCACACACCACCATTATTATTAGTCCCCCCCCCCCCCCCCCCCACCACCACCACCACACACACCACGATTATTAGTCGACCTCAGGATCATTGGTCAGCCCCCACATCATTTATTATGACAACCATAGCTGTTTTGGATCCACTAAATCTAGTTCTGCGTGGATCCTTACATGCTTCGTGTACACTTTGTCTTTCACTTTCCCTTGCACCCCGCAACCAATGAAGCTCTCGTCCTCTTAGGGAGAGGGGGGGGGGGGGGGGGGGCACAAAACCCGTTCCTGGCAGTGAGCAAGCATGTGTGCGCGCGCATGTGTGTGTGTTGTCTGTGTTTCTTCGATCTTGTACAATACAGACAACCATTTGGGACGAATACTGCCTCTCTTACTTGATAAGCCACCGTGATTTTGAGAACAGTATCTTGGGCCTGGCCTGGGTGTCAGGAATCTGCAAACAGTTTGATGGTAGAGTTAGTGCCAATACCGGTCTGGTGACTACCCAAAATGCCGGACAAAACATTCCGCAGACCATAGCAACACTGGTGTTTGCACATGAGATTGGCCATAACCTCGGCGCCCAGGTAAGCTTTAACTTATTTGTTTTGTTTTTGTTTTGTTTAATTTTTAACTCGAATACTAAGCCAATTGATATAATTTTAAAAATAGAAGAAACCCCGTGGAAACGAGTTATGAAGCAACTATCCACGACTGTAGCAACTGTCGACTGTCGCGTGTCAAAACCTGCAGGTAGGAATAGACTGTGGGGTCAAGTGGATGCGAAGGTGGAAACTCCGGCCGAACTACGCCAAGGCCAAGATCATGTGTGTCGTCCCCAATGCGTCATCAGATGTTGCACATCTTCAAACTTTTATTTTCCATTTCCCTGATGATCCTACCCCGATGCCTATAACCTCTCATCAAAAGCACCTTGGCGTTACACTTGATAGCAAATTGGACAAACTGCAAAGTGGACTGGTCCCACCATTTCCAGAATTTGGAAAAGCGGGCAAGCTCAGCAGTCTGTATTCTTAATGGCCATCTCCCCACCTTTCACCGGAATGCTGCAAGACCTTCTATCATACATACATTTGCCTATTTTCTTGTATGCTGTGTGGTGTGGTGTGGCGCTGGTAATGGCCTCTTTGCAAAGCTGGAGATTGTGCATCGACGTATTCTCTGGGCAATGCTTCGTTTGCCGCCCGAGACCAACATAGCAGTTCTCTATGAAAATTGCCGTACATTTCCTCTGAAACATTACATTGACCGATCATCCTGCATATACATTCACAAGATCAAACTTATCACTGCCCCATCAGCATGTACAGCATTCCTTAAACTGGTTCAATGAATCCTCAAGAAGCCGGAACTCCCTTCGTTTCCCGATTGCAAGAAACAATTCCATGAGCCACTCGCCTGTATTCCTGGCATAGCAATTATGGGATTCTCTTCCTCAGCAATTAAAGTCCAGCAATACCCTCAATGCGTTTTTAAGCTTGACAAATACAGTTGTCCCTCTCTAATCCGGCACTTGTTTATCCAGCACCCTTGCAAACCAGCACACTTTCTGGCAAAACAGATTTTTTCAGGTCATTTTCTGCGTTTTTAAGCTTGATAAATACAGTTGTCCCTCTCTAATCCGGCACTTGTTTATCCAGCACCCTTGCAAACCAGCACATTTTCTGGCAAAACAGATTTTTTCAGTTCATTTTTTAATCCGGCACTTGAATTCCGCCTCCAGCAGCGATTTTCTGCAACAAATCACTCAAATCACTCAAACTGTACATAATTCGATTTTCTAATCCAGCAGTTGTACATCACATATCGTCAGGGAGCATTGTAACATACACTTGGGAATACCCTACACCAGTACATAGGATATTCCCAAGTAACTGGGGGAGAGAAAAAAATCCCGCTACCGAAACAATTATTTTATTGCGTTCTAGAATACAACTCTGGTTGTTCTGTTCGTGATAGGAGCACGGTGCACGCACATTGTTCTCTTCATTGCTTTATTCTGTAAATATATTCTTTGTGGAGGTGAACAATATTTGTGGTAGGGATGAACATGGCGGAGCGCTCAATCACTGTGATTCCGTGTGTGTGTGTGTGTGTGTGTGTGTGTGTGTGTGTGTACACGCGCGCGTGTTCATGCTTTGTGTACTCAGCATGACAAGGAGAGTCGGTGCACTGACCAGAAAGCTGGACGCTTCATCATGTTTCCATCAGCAAATAGTGGCAACCTGCCTAATCACATGCGATTCTCTGCTTGTAGCATTGAACAATTTGCTCCAGTCCTCAAGCAAAAGGCTTTCGGTCTGAAGTCGACCTGCTTCAAGCGTAAGTCAATTATCACCCGAGTTCATGTATCTTATCATTGGGGCAGCAGGAGTCAACTTAAAGTGTTTGGATAAGAAGTACCTCGGATACTAAATTTAATACTTTTTCCCATCCCCCAGGGGGTACGTCCCCAGGGGGCACGTCTTATCCGAGTTCCACTGTAGATGGATAGAGAGAGAGAGAGAGAGAGAGACTTCAATTCTAGATTTTCAGGCGATCGCTGCAAAGATAAATGGTGGGTTGCAAAGCAGTGTGTGTTGTTTGCCAGCAGCAGTACAACTTGAAATGTGTTTATGATTTGGGCTGCTTTAAAAAAGGTGCTCAGTTCGCGGCGGCGTTGTTTTTGACAGAGCTTTGTTTGCCTGCCTTTTTTCTGGAGTACAGCTGACTCACAGGGTCGACTTTGCGGTAACGGAGTCAAGGAAGAGGGCGAGCAATGCGACTGCGGTGCACACACGGAATGTAGTGCTCTCGCCCTGACTGATCGATGCTGCCAAATCAAGACGTCAGGAGCACAGAATCCTGCTGTGGATTGCAAATACCCTCCGACGAAGACCTGCTCGTAAGCCAACCTATCTTGTCCTACTGTACAGCGTATCGTGGCATTGCTGTATGTCTGTATCTCTGCAGTGCTGTATCTCTGCAGTGCTGTATCTCTGCAGTGCTGTATCTCTGCAGTGCTGTATCTCTGCAGTGCTGTATATCCTGATAGCATAGTGTAACAATGTACACGGGTGAAATGTGTTCTCATTCCTATTAGTTTGCCGAGCAGCTTTGTATCACGACTAGTAAGTCTTGTGCCAGCATGAGTGGTGTGCGGTGTTTGTGCGTGTGGTTGCAGCTATCATCGTTCTGCCTGTTAGTTTGCATTGATTGATTGGCTTGTTCATGAATTGCTGTCCTGTTTGTGTATGTCTATGATTGTGTATGAACGTGTGGGTGTGTGTGTGTGCATGTGTGTGCATGTGTGTGCATGTGTATGTGTAAGAGTGTGCGTATGAGTGTGTGTATGAGCATACATGTGTGTGTGTGTGTGTGTGTGTGTGTGTGTGTGTGTGTGTGTGTGTGTGTGAGCATGCATGTGTGAGTGTGCGTGCGTGTGCACGCGCACCGTGTACAATGTACCATGTGTTCATGTCATGTATCCACCAGGTTCCAAGATGGCCCGTGCTGCTCAGGCTGTTTGTTTGTGCCAGCGTTGGATAATCAAACTTGTAGTGAACCGCACGAGTGCCGTCTCGGAATTGAGACATGCGAATATCCTCCTAGCAAAATCTAGCACTGTAGCATAACCATGGGCCTTTATGCGTGTGTGTGTGTGTGTGTGTGTGCCTGTGTGTGTTTGTGTCTGTTTGTGTATAGGTTTTGATTACGTATAGGTTTGCACATGTATGTTGTACGATACCTTCATAGCAGTGGTCATAGTCTTTTGTAGAAATTGTCGGGCTTGTTTGAAAATGCTATTCAGCCTGAAATGACCCAGTTTTACACAGGTTTCACATCTAGGCTATTTGCTTATGGGCCGTTTTTTTGTCTTTTTAAACCACTGGCCTGTCAGTTTTACATGACTGTGCACCACCTTTGCTGGTTGATCATGACTGCTATTACTGTGAAATGCGGAAATTGTGAAATCCAAAAAACAGTTGGCGCGACCACCCAGAACTTGCGCCATAAGGCCCTCTTCAGACTAGGTACAAAACAGCCTATAAGTCACATTGACATAGAAGTTTCAAAGGCAACTACAAGAATCTGGCGGGAAGCCTAAAGAGCTGCCCAATCCTTTCAAGCAGGGTGCGAACCCTTGTACAGGTCCTCCCTCATTATAACGAGTCCGGTTAGTACATAAACCCCGATAGTAAGTAGAAATCTTAAATCCCGTGACGAAACGTGGTCTATACAACTGTTTACAGGTCCGGCTACAACATAATTCGTTAGTACATAAATTTCGTTATAACGACCCTGTGCCCAGGTCCCCGGAGTGCCAAACCCTCAGTATAAGATAATATTGACCATGAAGGACCAAGGCCAAAACACGTTGGATAACGCAGGAAGACGCAACCTATTACATGTATATCTATGTATTCGTATATGGACGATTTTTTGCATCCAAGGAAGAGCTATGTTGGAGATTTTTGATTATCTTATAACGAGTTGAAGCGTCGAAATTTATGTTGTATCGAGGGTGGCCCAGGTAAGTACGAATTACTAGTAGTGCCTATTTCACCGTTAGCTGCAAGTCCTGTTACGAGATAAGTCTCGTTATAAGATAGCTTTTTTTCGATGGCCCAGAGATTATCTTCTAACGAGGGAGGACCTGTACAAGGCAACTTTCCTGCATTTCTCGTACTTTCACCAGGCAGTCGTACAAGTGTACAAACTTTGTACGACTGCCGGCTGCTTTCAATTTCACACATCCCAGGTCCCTTGCGCAATCGTGTAGGGTCAAAGGTTGCCTGTATGTTGCATGTAAAATGTGTAGTCTGAATGCAGGCGTGGAAAAATGTTGCCTTTTAGGTTTTATGTGATTTTGTACTGGCTGTTCTATGTACGTAGTCAGCAGAGGGCCCAAGCCTTTTCTCGTCAAGTAATACGCCCATTGCGCATTGCCGAATATGGAAGGTATGTGTAGTGCATGCGAGTACATGTACGCTGGAATCGGCAAGGCACTGTTTAAAAAAAAAACAAGACAACATACACAAGACTTTTAAAATATAATTCTACTTTTCATTTGGTGCTTTGGAGACTTGCCATGATCATCACGGGCGTGTGACTAATGGGAGGATCTTGAACATCGGCGCGAGACCCCTATCATGAATTTAAAAACATTGGGTGGTGAAGAATGGGCAGCCACTGCTTCAGGCTAGTGAGGTTTTTATTTTTTTATAAGATTCTGGCATCTTTGTTCTTATTCTGTGCTTGTACATTCACCTACAAGTACAGGTGCACTGTGCATACAGTGCTGTATGAAACAAACACACACTGGTGTTCCTAAATCTTTGCTTCCAGCCTGGCTGTTCTTCGGCGCCCGATGTCACTGAATGGGTCATCTCTTTGTGCAGTGGTAACTTTTTAAGTCTAACAGATTTCAACGTTGTTGCCTTGACTGGTGAGTGTGTCTGTCACTGGGCTATCAGCTTTGTGTCCTATAGCACCACCCAAGGCGAATGGTCTTGTGTGCAACCGCGGCCGAGCTACCTGCTATGGAGGTGTAAGTTTGCCAATGTGATTTCCAGCGGCATGCACACACTTTCACACAGCCGTGCACATGTATGCATTCATGGGGTCGAGGGAAGGGGGGTTCTGCCAGAGCTATCCCCTAGTTCCCTTCTCATTGTCGAGGAGTTTGAGTCGGAAATAGATAAAGTAGTGCAGCATTTTGGTGTAAGTAAAAGTAAATTATCGTGTCCGTTCCCGGAGGTAATTTTGGTGTAGTTCACTGATAATTTAAAGTGCAGTCACTCATGCCATTGTCATGACCAGTATGTGTAATTTCCGGTTGCTCATCTGTATGACTTACATCACCCCGAACCAGAATCCAAAAGGACTTCTACGCTCCATTGAGTTGACCAGCAATTCAGGTTTTGTTTTCATGCTAGGATGCCATCATCTCTGGGCCAAGTTTGTGTGTGCGTGTGGTTAGTGCTTGTAGTTTGTATACATGTCCACGTATGTATAGGATATTGACCAAGACGAGGTCTATATGTATAGGATATTGACCAAGACGAGGTCTATATAATTCCCATATAGACCGAAGTCGAGGTCAATATCCTATTTATCACGATTCCTTTGCCATAACCCCAAAATTTGATCCTTTAGGAGCTATTTTAACCTTTTTAGTATAGCATTTGTACTATAGTGTACATAGGATGTTGCCTATTTCGGGTACAAGACTGTAAGAACAACAGGGTTCAGCATCTGCAGCACAGTGGCTGGGTGGTATATGGGGTTGCTTGAGATTCATACTGTGTGAGTTCGAATCCTGCGTGTTCTCTTCCTTTGTCTTCTTTCTTTCAAATTTTCTTTTTGAAGTGGAGTGCAAATTTCTAAGTCCCTCCAAAGTCGAAAGATTACAATGCCTATTATTATAAAGTGGTCGATACAAGCGGTCGGTATTACGGCGATATGGGTAATAATAGGGAGGTTTCGCTCTACGTAATTACGTATGAAAATCCGTATGTCGTACGCGCCGGGGAGCGAGGGCAGCTTTCATACTTAAATCTCTCTACGGAATTCCGTAGGAAAGCTCTTTCCTACGTTGGGTCCTCCGTAGGACTTTTTGAAATATTTTTTCGCATTTTCCGCATTTATCCATGGCAACGTTCAAGCCGCGCGAAACACAAGGTACACACACCGTACACCACGTGCAAAATAAGATGGAAAACGCGGTTTCGGTTCATGGTGCATGCGGTGGGCGCATGCAGCCAACGCGTCTCCAAAGCAACAACGCATGTTTAGCAGTCGTGGATAAATCACGTAGAGCGAAACCCAGCAGCTCTGGTTTTTTACGTATGAAAATTCCGTGCAGTTCCTACGTTATTTTCATACGTAATTCCGTAGAGCGAAACCTCCCTAATAGGACCAGTCAAGGATCACAAGATTTAGTGGAGGTCGATATAGAAGAGTGATAATAGGGAGGTTCCGGAGTACGATTTTTCGTGCCAAAATCCGTAGAGGCGCTACGGATTTTTTATACGTCGTTTTCGAGCAGTGAAATGTTCCGGAGTACGGAACTGTAGCAAGAAGGACCCATGAGTGTGTGTGATCCCCGGTAGCCTAATCGGTGGGGCACTGTCCCGGAAAGACAGGGGTGCTGGGTTCGAATCCCGCTCATGGATCCTTCTTTTGCAACATTGGCGCCTGGCAATGGCTCGAACCCACGACCCATCGTACCCCCCGCGAGTAGGTACGGCTTGAGGACACAGCCTGTTGGGGCGGGGGAGCAGTGTAGCAAGAAGGACCCATGAGTGTATGTGGTCCCCGGTAGCCTAATCGGTAGGGCACTGTCCCGGAAAGACAGGGGTGCTGGGTTCGAATCCCGCTCGTGGATCCTTCTTTTGCAACAGAACTTATGTGTTTGCCGTCATTACCTAGGTTACGATCGCAAACACGTCACATTCCCGCGCTATGCCTTTTTATTTTGAAAATTTGTACCGAAATCAACTTCCCGCAGAAAATCGATGTTTCTCGTACAGTCAGACCTCGCATAACCGCACACAAGCGTTTTCCACAAAAATATCCGGATAGGCGAGGGAACCGGATAATCGAACACACACACTGTATGTATGCATGGCATATGCTGTAAATCGGTAACCAACGATTTTCTTCCGGATGGTGAGGGATCCGGATAAAAGAGGACAGGATAAGCGAGGTCTGACTGTACCAAATTTGTACGCGAAAAATCTTTCTGCGCCCGATGACGCAAAATCTCCATACGAAACATGGTTCGTATACGCGTATGAAAGCCAGTCCACACGGATTCTCCGTGCCGAAAAATCGTATGGAGCACGCCTGGAAAAAATCCGTACCGCCCATACGGAGTTCGGCACGGAAAATCGTACCCTGGAACCTCTCTATTGTCTAATATTGTTATTATTTTATCACTCTTCTATATCGACCTCCACTAATTCTTGTGATCCTTGACTGGTCCTATATTACCCATATCGCCGTAATATCGACCGCTTGTATCGACCACTTAGGCATTGTAATCTTTCGACTTTGGAGGACTTAGAAATTTTCCTTCCACTTCAAAAAGAAAATTTGAAAGAAAGAAGACAAAGGAAGAGAACAAACAGTATTCGAACTCACACAGTATGGATCTCAAGCAAGTTGAATCAACCCCATATACCACCCAGCCACTGTGCTGCAGATGCTGAACCCTGTTGTTCTTACAGTCTTGTACCCAAAATAGGCAACATCCTATGTACACTATAGTACAAATGCTATACTAAAAAGGTTAAAATAGCTCCTAAAAGGATCAAATTTTGGGGTTATGGCAAAGGAATCGCGATAAATAGCATATAGACCTCGTCTTGGTCAATATCCTACACATATACTATAATTATGTGCGGTAAGGGGTCGTCGCAAAAGTTTTTTGTCGTCCCTGAAACGAACATGATTCATTTGGGGGGCAGGGGGTGCGAGCCAAAATCGCAAGTCGACCGACACTGTACATATGACATGCACATGCATGCGATTTTCGTCGTCCAGCATAGCAAGCTGTGTTCGTTTCAGAGGGAGGGGAGGGGGTCCGAGTACGAAATGAACGATGTTCGTTTCAAGGACGACAGAAAACTTTTGCGACGACCCCTAAGGTACCACACATGCACACATACAAACACACATACACACGCGCACACACACACACACACACACACACACACACACACACACACACACACACACACACACACACAAATAGACCAGTGGAGTTTGTATCTACTTCAAGCTTGTTGCTCTACACAATCACCAGGAGACTGATTCTAAAAAGACTGTACAATGGACTATATCCCATAGAGTAAGTATGTGATATAGTATACCCCCCCCCCCCCCTTGCTACCTTGGTGGGGAAGTAGAAAGTGATACCCCTTGGCGTCCCTTGTGCCCGTATCTCTGGAGAACTCGCCTGCTATGTATCATATCAGCTTTGATGAAGTTTATTTCGCACACATTACACATGCACAGGAGAAAAAAGAGGCCATTGATGAAAACGTGTGGATTTCATAGGTTGACAATGACTGAGAATTGAGCACGCGTGCGCATGTGATTGGAAAAAACCCCGAAATCGAAGCACACTTAGGCTGCGTTTACACGACAATGCTGGGGGTGAAAACGCAACAAAAGCCTTTCGGATGCATGGTTCATTTACACGGTAAGCGGAGCAAAACGTAAAAGTTGTGCACCAAAACGGTAGAAAACCAAAACGCTGGCCGAGTTGGAAGAATTTGAAAACGGAAATGTTCTGCCGGATAAATTTGGGTGTGTAAGTAGTCGAAACGGTGTGCTGGCCTCGTTTTCCGTCACGTTTCTTTCGTTTTCGGCCGTTCGCACGGATCCGATAATCATAAAAATTGTTTTACAATTTTCGTCATGTGACGAGTGTTGTTTTGTGGCTTGTTTTCAACTACTACTTGAGTGTGATTGATGCTTCTACGACAACACTTGGCACATGACGAACTTTGGCGGATCCTTAGCTCCTGTGTAGACGCGCGTAAACGATACAAACGGAGACTACCCCGGATCAGCTTTGATCATGTAAACGTACGGAAACGAAAAAAGAAATGCGGGACTGAAAACGGAAAACTGGCCATGCGTTGTCGTGTAAACGCAGCCTTACATGCCTTGACAAATCCAGCTGAGGGTGCCCGGTAGAGGGACGTGCCCGTATCTGAGACGTCCATGTAAGATACGTTTGAGTGTATACGCTGCGTACTCTAGGGTCCTGGGTAACCATAGTAACGCTAACTCTGGTTCTTACACCCAATGACGGTCTATGACCTTTTTTGTAGTTGCACTCTGGAATGTGATTTTCTTTTTGCTGGCTATATAATATATATCAAGGAGAGGAGGCACTTTCACGGCACTTAACCGTATCTCGCTGTTGTGTTTGGATGTATGCTTCTTTACAGGTGTGCAACGGCAGCCTGTGCGCTATCGCTGGTGTCGGCGTGGAATCATGTGACTGTGAAGGTGCCGGCAACGAGTGTGCCGTGTGCTGCAAGGGTACAGACGGCGCGTGCAAACCTCTGAGCGAGTACAGCTTCAACAAGACCGGCATCAACCTTAACCGCATCCCAGGCGCGCCGTGCAACAAGGGATCGGGGCACTGCAATTTCCTGAACTTCTGCCGGCGCCTGGACGACACCGGTGTACTTTTCCAGATCACCAACACCATCTTCTCGCTGACCACACTTGGTTCAGCCTGGGACTGGGCTAAGTCCGGGTGGTACTATATCCTGCTAGGCGTTGCTGGTTTGGTCGCTGCATTTGCATTGATGATCCATTTCTGCGCCAAGAAGACACCACGCACCGTGCCCGTAACGCGCAAAGGCCGCGGCACAGAGATGAAGCAGAGATTCTGAGAAGGAGAATGCGCCACCACGCATGCAGCATGCCGACCGAGGGAATGTGCGATGCGGCGTGCACACGTCATAACAGAGTAAGCCCTGTGGTCTAGTTACTATAATGCTGGTCACATGGATAGGGCTCAGGGCAGGGCAGGACAGAGGGCATGAAGGCAGTCGTCGTGCTTGCACTGCTGGCGACATTCTGCCTCTGGGTGTTCTCAGTGCTGCTGGCATTATAATGCATGGCGAATGGAGGATGAGTCTATTGATTCAGTCGTATATTTGAATAACCACAATACCGGCCTCCATCAAATGTCTTCATCCCATGCACACGTGTTCATGTTCTCCCCGGCAAACCATTTCCGTGTTTACATTTAAAGAGAACTTTAATATACTGAGAACAACGCTGCACTACTCCGGATGCACTACTTGCCATGCATTTACCGGTAATTATCATTTTCTTGTAGATACTCTAGTCTAGGTCCCACTGCAATGGTTTCCTCTTTTGTTCGTTCCATAAATATGTTTTTTTAGGCCAATTCTTGAGGTGGCCCTGACCATTGATGACTATGTTCCTACTTTTGTCCACACACATACACCGCGGTCCGTCAGGTGTAGCATTGTAACGTTAGGGCGCAGTAACTGTGCTTCTACTGCTAGTACTAATGTAAATGAATTCATCGTTGTATATTGCTACGTTCATGTGCAACCTGTCAGGAACTCAGCGGGCTGGTACGCGGCAAGGGCAGGGTGTGTGGAAGTCGTCAAGTACTTGAATCCCTTGATATACTTCAATGTACTTGCCGACTCCCTGGTCAAGGGTTTGTTTGGTGCTGAATCTGCCTTTATTCCTGTAGCTATGCAGAAGACGTTACTTCAGTAACGTCTGGCGCTAGCCAGGGTCCACACAGCTTTAATTTGGTATTTGTTTGTTTGTGTGTTTGTTTGTTTGTTTGTTTGTGTCACGCCTGGCGCTATCCGTATCTGACGGCAAAAAAGCATAGGATGTTATAAATTTTTCAATTCTCCTTTTTTTCAGGCATATCCTGGGATTCGAACCCGCACTATCGCCCTACATGCATTCCCCCATACACTTCGCATTCATACCCATTCTTCCAATTTGCTTCACGTTATTATCTTGCGTTTGAAAACCCTATTTGAATTTTGCGGCCAGCTGTACGTGGCCAGCTGTGTTTGATGGTACGGTACGGTACGGAAGACGGTGTCGTATTACCCTCGATCGTACCTGTCCCTTACCTATCCCCTACCGTACCGTGCCATCAAAGACGGCTGGCCACAATGCATATTCAAATAGGGCTTTCAAATGTAAGATCACAATGTGAAACAACTTGGAAGAATGGGTATGAATGCGAAGTGTATGGTAGAATGCATGTAGGGCGATAGTGCGGGTTCGAATCCCAGGATATGCCTGAAAAATTAGGAGAATTGAAAAATTTATAACATCCTATGCTTTTTTTGCCGTAAGATATGGATAGCGCCAGGCGTGACACAAACAAACACACAAACAACAAATGTATGCGAAGTGTATCGGGGGATGCATGCAGGGCGCGCGATATTGCGGGTTCGAATCCCAGGTTATGTCTTAAAAAAAAGGATTTTTTTAAAGAATTTATAACATCCCTATGCTTTTTTTTTGTCTAGGTCATCAAGGCAAAAAAAGCATAGCGTAGGGCCCTGAGCTTCCAAGCTCTCTCGTTCTTGACATCAACTCGGATCACATGGCACATGGCATGAAGACTGAATGTTCAAAGTATTGTAGTGGACTATAAAATAGACATGTACATACAGGTACTAGTGCATGTTTCCATTTTGACAGCATGTTACAAGGCGAGGACGCGTAGTGCTCCTGGCTACAACCGTCGCCTTGTAACATGCTGTCAAAATCGAAAACACATGTTAAACTACCAAGCAAGGCTTCTGTATATAGGTACTAGTGCACAGTTTACAGCACGCTTGCGGGGGAAAAAGGACAGGTGCCGGAGGGAGACCCCGTACTGGCCAGTGCTAGTTGTGGTATCAAAAGTGCATAAACAAGAGTATGCAACTGTGGTTATGAGTCAGTGCGTGGCGCGCTGCCTTCATTACGTAACTTACCTCCATCACGCTCTGAAAGCATGCACTCATTCTCGAACTCACAATTTCTCGTACGAGCCCATCCGGCTTTGCAGATTGCTCGATTCGTTCCAGTACCTATGCGATCTCTAAATTTTGGCGGGTGAACTCCAGTTCCGCACGAAAGTTCATTTCAAACCAGAGGGAAAGTGCGGTGTTTGGTTTTCTGCAGGGCGCAGACTGCAGCTGAATGATGTAATGAAGGCAGCGCAGCTGAGCGCACCGTGCATCTGGCCCATAGTCTAGAGATCACAGTTGCATACTCTTGTTTATGGACTCTTGGTGGTATGAACTACTAGTACCCGGCACAGTAGCATCATTCCCCGTCTCAGTGGCTGTGGATCTACATGTAGTCATCTAAATAAAACCTTCAACACATGCACCCACCTGCACACATGCCAACACATACACCCACATGCCAACACATACACCCACCTGCACACATGCCAACACATACACCCACATGCCAACACATGCACCCACCTGCACACATGCCAACACATACACCCACATGCCAACACATGCACCCACCTGCACACATGCCAACACATGCACCCACCTGCACACGTGCCAACACATGCACCCACCTGCACAGGCTTACATGCACTTCCCTGCATTGAACATGCTAGGTCACAGCCAGCCCGGAGTCATGGCAACGCTAGCGTTTGGATCGATTTCCTTCACAGCAGGGAGTCATTAACTGCATATGACTCCCTGCTTCACAGCATAGTGACACATCGACCGGTAGTGACCAGGGAGTCGTAAAATACGTTATTTACGACTCCCTGGTAGTGACGGGACTGGGCCCTCCTGATCCATGTGGTCAGGGCCGGACCCACTCTTGCCGTCTTGGTGCAGGAAAAAACCCACACCTACAAACATGTAGCATGCTAGCAGGTGTGTGCGACACGAGGGCCCCACCCATCCATCCTGTACGTATTGCGGCTATACCGGTACGGGTCTACGCTCTCTCTGTCTTGTTAGTACGACATCGGTTACAAGACAAACCTCTATGACTCGTACAGGTAGTACACAACGATCCAAAATGAAAATCCCCTAGCGCCTGAAGCGCATACAGTCGACTCCACTTATAGCGAACCCGTATAATTATAGGGAATTTCGTGATACTTTGTCAATGTCTATGTTTGAACCCATACAAAATTCACCATTTGTAACGAACTGTTTTCGTTTATACGTTTTATACGAACTATTTCTTGTAGGGCCGCATGATATCCGACTATTATCTGTGCAAGTGCACTCATACTGTCATGGGCCACATGCTAGTCACGACATGTTGTTCGTATGACAGGAGTGCATTTCTGTTGTAACGAACTTCGGCTATAAAGAACACTGAAATCCTCCCGCACAATGGTTTTTGTTATAATTATCAGGAGTCGACTGTGCATTCAAGTCCGGATAGTAGACAATACTCGTTATAGAAGTAAAACAAAGAATTTGAAACCCCTGCGGTTGTCTACTATTGGTTCACACGACAGGCAAATCCACGTGCACCGGAAAGTTGCTATGGTATTTTACCTGTGAACGAGAAAAGTGCCTGAAAGTGGCTGAAAAGTGAAAGCGAGCTGGGGGCCCACTTTCACGATAAAGGTGGCGTGCACGAGTACATTTTAATATAATATACCAAAAAGCGCGGAACAAGACTTGATTTTTTACGCGGCTCTTTAGAGCATGATAATTATTGTATGTGTGTTTTGAAAGTTTGAAATACCCATGGCTACTGGCCGGTGAAGCATTCAAAAATGCAAATGTGCCTGTCGTCAAGTGCAGCTGTGTGAATCCACACAGTCACTTTTCTCGTACGTCACTCCTTGTAAAACGTGCAAGTGCCTGTCGTGTGAATACCCCATAACCAGGGAGTCCCCCTGCTACTAACGACGGCAAACCTGTGTATGGGCAGAGTGGATCCAAAAGTCGATATTTTGTCGTTGGCAATTGGACCTAGACTTCTGACGTCATCGCTGTCATTAAGCATGATGGCCATATTGCACCACACACAGACACCACACCCGCTCCCCTGTTGTCCAGTGTTGAGCGTGCTATTTTCAGCATCGCTGCCGACAAGTGTAATGAGTAGCATCATGACAGAACTCTATCCCTAGGCATATCATTGTCTGTCAAGTGTCGTCTCACTCTCACCCTTCCACAGCTGTCAGTTACCATGTTTACTAGTGTCTGTCACTACATCATACACACATGTAGTAGTACATGTATACATTTTTTTTTCGATTTTGACAGCATGTTACAAGGCGAGGACGCATAGTGCTCCTGACTACAACCATAACCCGGTTGGCAGAGTCCCGGTCTTGCGACCATTTGAACCGTATTGGGAAAACCCAGGTTCGGACCCTCTTTACTCTAGGGGTTGGTAGGATGTAGAATTTTTTCTTTTTTTTTGTTGTGTTGTAGATGTCGTCGTGTTGCCGCCACAGTTGTAACATGCTGTCAAAATCGAGAAAAAAGGCTTCTTTATACTGTATATAACATGTATGCATGTACACTCATATCTCGTGTTTACCCGGCCACTGTCCGTAACTCCGAATAACAAACATGTAGTGATGTACATTTTGATGGAGAAAGCGGAGAGCCCCGCATAATACACAGTCATACATGATACGTGTACAGTGTACAGTGTACATGTATCATTGTATTGTATAAGCAAGAGTACATAACCCCTAGAGTGTGCAACGCCTGATCCAGCTCTGCACGTGACGAGCGTAATCGGATCTTCTGTCATGTGTACACTCCACACCAGCGCAAGGCCGGTCTCGAGGCAGGGCACCGTTGTTTTTGATCCGAGAGTACCCGCGACTCACCGGGTTCCCCTCAGATGTGTACGGTATTATGACGCAAAGATCCGATTACGCTCGACCAAGAGTCTAGGGCTGAAACAATTATACCGGTAACTCGCATATCGATCATTAAGAGTGCAATCGGTAATCGTTAGTGTTCAAAACGAGTGCTAACGATTTTTTATGCATGCATATCAACAACGGCATTCCAACCCTTGCACTCCATCCGATAGTGGATACGAGTACAATAATGTACTTTCAACTCAGTTTCAAGTGCAGTAAAGAAAAGAAGTTGATTTGTGGCTTTGAAAGAGATTGGGAGAGAAGACTTTGTCTTTTTGGTTCATTTGTGTGAGAGGTCGGAGATAAGAGAGTAGTTGCCAGAGGGTGATAACAAGATTCCTTTCTCTAGAAACAACATGAAATTCTCTAGTTCATGTTGATAAAACCAGCCAGATGTCTACAAATGTGAACAGTGCGGTGCCACAATTTGCTAATGTAGCAAAGGTATCATGGAATTTTTTCATAAACTGGTGTTCGAGGTACACGAGTAGAACCGACAAGAATCGATAAAACCAATATATCGATCGTTACTATGATGATATTGGTTGATCGTTAGGAGTTATTGAATGATCCTTTCAGCCTTATCCAAGACCCTATGCAGAGCTGGATCAGGCGTTGCACACTCTGGGGGGTTATGTACTCTTGGTATTAGGTAAGAACCTTGTTTGGTTGAAAACATGTTGTTTGGTCCTCCGCCTTGTAACATGCCGTCAACCAAATGTGCAGTCATGTACATGTAATGTATGTGCAGGGCAGCCAGGGCTCCCTGGCCTGGGAGAAAGGCCATAGATATGGCATGTGACGTCACTATTTCCACAGTACACTGTAGTAGCAAGAGTACATAAACCAGAGTGTGCAACTGTGCATATCAGATCTGAAACAGCGCAGTTCGTGCACTACGTCACCCTGATGAGATCAGCCAAGCCGCGACTTGCGTACAGCTCAAATTTTCATGTTTCATAGCCCGGAAATCAGCCAAGTTTGCTTGATTTTAGACGTCCTGTTTCAGGATTTCGGTGTTTTGTGTGACTGTGTACGCTGCGTACATCCACCGACAAGTAAAGTCACCAGGCTATCCGTCTCAAAAAACCGAAATCAGGACAAAAATTGAGTTTGATACGGTTTCTGGTATCTTGGCCGTAGACTACTACGCATACTGCTTCTAGCGGTTTCTTTGGATTTTACTGATTGATTACTAGTATACTGTATTTATTTATACTGAAAACTAATGTTACTTTAAATGAAAAGGCGACGAGGAGACAATAATTATAAATCAGGACAAACTCAGTGAACTGCACCACCGCGACTGGTTACGCAACTTTTCACCGTACCTGTGGCTTACCATGCCGTCAGAAATGACGTAGTGCACGAATTACGCTCCCACAGGAACCATCCCGAGTTGCACACTCTGGTTTATGTACTCTTGGTAGTAGTGACAAAAGAGTAGTAATATTTCCACTGACACTCGGAGTAGTAATATTTCCACTGAAACTCGCCTAAAGGGACCGAAGTGCTCGTAACTCCGGGGTCCGGATAACCGAGGTATGAGTGAAGTGCAACAGCGCCTTACTAACTACAGCTCTCAGAAGCAATTATTATTTCCCACTTACTTTCCGCAGTTGCCAATATTCCACTGAACGCCAACAGAAGTACAATGTACATGTACATGTAGTTCCTTCTCCCGAGTGGGTCTACCGGTATTGCTATTTGGCAGTTGTCTGTGGCTACTAGTAGTAGTCACCACTATTATAATAATGTACAGTAAATCAATCCAATCCCACCACACCTCAGCCTTGATATGCTTGCACTATCACAGTATTTATCAGTGTACGATGATTATGTAGCAAGCGCAGCCCTTCAACCCGGGCCGTAGATCTACCACACGAACAGACAAACATGTCGACAGCTACATGTATACAGCTGAGCTGTTTCAATAATAAAAATTAATGTACATGTATTGCAACAAAATCAACAGCTGACAAGTGACATGTACATGTGTGAGCTACGCAAGACTTTTCGACACACACGTACGTGAACAGTCGCACACGTACATGCCAGATATGGTTCATCTACGTCCGCCGTCCAACCAGTGAAACACCACCTGTACACGGTGTTGTTGCTGGTCATTATTATTTTTGTCGTTGCTGCAGTTGAGAGCACGCGGGCCATTGAGGCATTGTCCCATTGACGGCATTGATTTATTCTAGCCGCATTGTGCAGAACCAGAGTAGTCTTTGCCACTTTGGTTCAGAAACAACAACACGATCATTTCCTATACGGATGCGATAGCAGTCTGTTTGGAGCCGCTAGCTAGATGAGCAGCGACTCAGGTCACTTGACGTGTCCGCATTTTACAGTTAGTGGATCGATCTAGTACTGGATCGCTGGTGTTACCACACCACTCCACCACAGGATACTAATATTGCTCGTAGCGAGAGCGATTTGGGAAAGAATCCACGACTCTAGCCGTCTTGCTGTTCAGATTCCTGTTGTCCGAGGCGAGCGGGAGGAGTGCAATTGGAGGCTTGGCGGAGCCGCTGTCAGCGTCAGGAGATATGGCGAGCTGGCAGCGCAGTGGCTACCAGGGTGATGGGCACTTGCGGATAGCAGTACATGTACAGGTAATTCTTGTTGCCCTCCTGTGCACTTGGCCCGGCAACAGATTGGCATCCGCGGCTGTTGGGAATTTCTTTGGTCCATGCACGACAAACTGCACAACACGCAACGGCGAGGTTGTGTTTGGTGGGTTTTTCCCCTTGTACGAATGGAGCTACAAGAACAACAGTTGCTCAGCTAAATTTCGTCCTGAGAGCGGATTTCAGCGTCTGGAGGCCATGCGCTGGGCAGTAGAACGCTACACAAGCTACAGCAATGTGAGTGTAGGGTATGATCTGCGAGATAGCTGCTCCAAGGACACAAACACGCGCGATGAAGCTCTGGACTACATCAACGTCGGCACAAACTGCCAAGCTAGGTACCGAGACCGTCCCATATCCCTCGTAATCGGCTCGGCATCCAGCGAAGTATCATCGGACCTCGCCAGCCTGCTAGCTCTGTTCGATGTGCCACAGATAAGCTATGCGTCAACGTCGAACGAGATGAACAAAACTGCCAGCAGGGACCAGTCAAGGTTCGACAAATTCTACCGCACCGTGCCTCCAGACCGATATCAGGTAGATGCTATGATCTCGCTGATAGAGCGTTTCAATTGGAGCTTTGTCAGGGTAGTCTACAGCAGTGATCCATACGGCCAAGCTGCCTACAACTGGTTCCGCAAGCGGGTCTCTGCTGAGAACGTGAGCTTTTGCCTTGCCCAGCCAATTGCCATTACCATCAATGACAATGTTGATGCTAATGTCAAGAAGGGTGCCGAAGAACTAAATAAAGGATACAGTGGCAACGCTACCGTCATCATTGTGTTTGCTCAGAGCTTTATTGTACGTCAGTTCTTGTCTGATGCTAAAACGGTTTTGGCATCGGAAGGCCTCTCTCTAGCTGATTTCACTTGGATAGCGTCGGATTCTTGGTCGAACAGTGTCCCGTTAGTGTGGGAATTTCCACAGCTGGCAAACCATCTTATAAGCTTTCAACCACACACCGAGGTTGACAGTGAATTTGAAACGCATCTCGGTGGTACACAGCTGAAGAATTTCCCGAGCGGAGCGCGTGGAGCCTGGTATCGTTCCTACTTTAAATATCTGTTTCCCGAGGGATACAATGCGTCAACTCGCGCTCGTGAGAGTGCACGCTTCAACGTTGACGCCAAGGTGCCGTTCGTCATCCAGGCAGTACAGATTGGACTCCAGGCTGTCGAGGCAACCTTGCGAAAGAAGTGTAGTGCGGCGTCATCGACTGGCGCGCTGTGTGCTGATGCGCTGGAAACGGGCAGGCCAGTGGTAGGTGATGACCTCAGCATGGTGCTCTCCACCAGTCAGTTTAACACTAGCTTCGACAGTTCCCGAATTTTCAAGTTTGAAACCGACAGCAGATCTTTCTTGCCTCTAACGGCTAGCAACATGTCCGTATATCGCTATTCTATATATCACTACCGGAAAGCAGAGACTCTAGGGAGTGGGCCCGTTGCCATATTCGAGAAAGTCGGGAATTGGAGTAATACCGAGGATTTGATGATTGGAGATGACTTTGAAGCTTCATTCAGAAGTGTTATCTCAATCTGCTCAAACCCGTGTGAGCCAGGAGCTGTAGAGGAAGTTGTCACGGGAGAAAGCAGAAAATGTTGTTGGTCTTGCGAAAAGTGCGAGAGTCCTGAGATCGCTGACAATATAACCGGCACGTGCACAGCGTGTGGTCAAAAGCAGACATCCAACGCAATGAATACGGCCTGTGTTGACTTGGAACCTGTGTACCTGAAGTGGGACAGTCCGTACGCTGTGGTCATGTTAGTCATCTGTGCCCTGACATTCATCATCACCACACTTACCATCGTAGTTTTCGCCAAGCACTGGGAGACACCGTTGGTGCGGGCGTCCAGCCGAGAGCTGAGCATTTGCCTCTTCATTGGGTTCTACCTGGGGATGATTGTGACGGTGGTGCACATCACGAAGCCAACGGTTGCAACGTGTATTATCCGTCGCTTCGGTCTCGGCTTCTCGCTGTCCCTGTGCCTGTCTGCCCTGCTTGTCAAGACCAATCGTATTTCACGAGTGTTTAATCGAGATCCGGGTCGTCCTCGGCCTGCCTATGTAGCACCGGAGTGGCAGATCTTCTTCACGGCAGCATTGACCCTTGTCCAGGTAAGCATCATTGTATGCTATGTGTGTGTGTGTGTGTGTGTGTGTGTGTGTGTGTGTGTGTGTGTGTGTGTGTGTGTGTGTGTGTGTGTGTGTGTGTGTGTGTGTGTGTTGTGCATGTGTGTGTGTGTGTGTGTGTGTGTGTGTGTGGTGTGTGTATGAACACGAATGTGTAAGTGTGTGTGTGTGTGTGCATGCGTGTGTGTGTGTGTGTGTGTGTGTGTGTGTGAATGTGTGTGGGTGTGTGAATGTGTGTGTGTGTGTGTGTGTGTCACGGTGTGTGTGTGTGTGTGTGTGTGTGTGTGTGTGTGTGTGTCACGGTGTGTGTGTGTGTGTGTGTGTGTTTTCAACGCGTGTGTCATGTCCTTGCTATTATACGGTTCGGAGTGCTGGGTTCCCCTTCAGGGCGACTTGCAACGCCTGTCCACCTTCCATATGCATTGCGTCCGCTCCATCCTTGGCGTGTCGAGACAGCAGATGTGGGATGCCCACATCAGGAATGCTGAACTATTGCGTATGTGTGGGGGGGGGGGGGACCAGGAGACCATCACCTGTAAGCTCCGGCATCATCGGCTAGAGTGGCTAGGTCACCTGGCGCGCATGGATGACACCCGCATGCCGAAGTGTCAGCTCCCAGCTGTCAGACCTGCCTATGGACCAAGGAAACGGTGGAAGGACTGCGTGTCGGTCGATCTTCGTCATAACCAAATTGTGAACTGGTACCAGACCGCTAACACATCTCGCAGCATGGAATGGCGATGTAGATACCAAGAACAGGATATGGAACTGACCGCAGCAGCCCCCGTTGAGTGCCCCATCGCGTATTGTGGGAAATGGTATCGTAGCAGGGGTGGACTCGCTGTCCACAGGTGTCAGCCTACCTCAATCACTAGCCAGCCCGCTCCCTCTCCTTGTAGACCTCGCCAGAACCGCCCGACAACGGATGAGCGTGCCAAGTTCCCACTACTGTGCCAGCACTGCTCTCAGAGATTTCGGCAGTCCAGGGACCTGACGTGGCACCGGCAGGGTTTGCTCCTCTCCGTCGTCCCGCAATGGGACCACATAACCTTTACGGCAGTGGGTCAACAGGACAGGACATGTGTGTGTGTGAAAAAGAAAAATTTTTTGCCGAGAGGAAGCAGATTTGTTAGCTCCTGGTTTTCTCTTTGTTGGCCTCCTCCACGGGGCGTCCCTGGCCTTCTGGTCAGGGTCGTCCCTGGGTATTGACTAGCAGTAGGCTTTTCATGCCGTGCAGCCTTCCACGCGCGCGCGCGCGGAAGGACATTCAGTAAGCTGACGGCCAGGGCGGGTAATTTGTTGCCGCAGTGGTGTGGCGAGCCCTCGGATCAACCCCCAGCCAAAAACAATGCAGTGGCGTTCGGCAAAGCAAGTGGACTCCTGGATGAGAAAGAAACAGGTCAGACTCGCAGAAATTTCTTCCTGCACGGTGTATCGCTGGAATCGTGAATTTGTCCTTGGCCGTGTTGTTTGGACCTGAGTGGCCAGTCGTCGTGCGGCGATGGTGTAGTGTTATTAGCTTGCTGTGCACACTCCTCGTCGCTCGTGAAAGTACGTCTTGTGGAGCCCTTGTGGGACGTTCGGTGCCCACTCTCCAGCTCAAGATTGTGTTTTCCTGATTCACGAAGGCCGAAGCAGCACGCGTACAGACGTTGGTTGAACAGAACATCATGTTCATATTTATTTTTTATATTGTTCCTTTTTCAGTCGTTGCATTTTATTGTGGACCTGCAGCAGACTGTTCATCTGGTTTGTGATATTTCTTTCCTCTGTTGGTGAGTTCTTTTCCATCAATATGGCAGCTTGTTTTGATTTTTTTCTTTTTTTTCAATTCA